GAACTTCAGTCACCTGTGGTATCCATGGGTACCCTATTGTGACTTTTATTGGATTGCCTTCCCTCCTGTTTCTCTTTCTAATTATCAGTGATTTTATTACCTTTGCCCCAAATCATCCCAAAGTCTGTTCTGAGGTCCCACTCTGAGTAAACCTAGAATAAGACCACAGCCAGCATGAGCTGAGAAGCCCAGACCTGCAATTGATAAGGGCATTCTTCTGAATGAAATATCTCACAAGTTGAATAAGAAGGTGGTTTCCCAGGGCTGGAGAGATGGCTCAGTGGTTAAGAGCACTGACTGCTCTTCCAGAGGACCCAGGTTCAATTCCCAGAATCCACATGGAGACATAGAGGCTCACAACTGTCTATAACTCCAGTTCCAGGGAATCGTACAGCTTCACACCAATGCATATAAAAAATAAAGTTAAATAAATTATGTCTGGGAGGTGGTGGTGCACCCCTTTAGTGCCAGCACTCAGGAGGCAGAGTTCGAGGCCAGCTTAGTCTACAGAATGAATTCCAGGACAGCCTCCAAATCTACACAGAGAAACCATGTCTGGACAAACCATAAAACAAAACAAAACAAAAAACCAAAAACAACAACATCAAAAACAAAAACAAAAAACCCAACAACACCAACAAAAACTGGTACATTTACATTCTGGGTCGAAGCACATGTGAGTTGTAGAGAGAACAGACTGTGGCATTCTAATGTTCTGGAGGCAAAATCTCTTTCCCCTGGTTTTGTATAAGAGTCCAAAAGAAGGGATAGCACTGGGCAGCTGTGGTGCACAGACTGGGGTGCACAGACTGGGTGCCAAACTAAGAAAAGTCAGTCTTTTCTACAGTGTCAGTATTTCTTATTTGAACGCAGGCACCAAGTATGTGGCAAGAAAGTGGCACCATTAAAGGCATGCACCAGCACACTTGGCATTTCCATACTGTTTGACCAATGTAATATTCTTATTATTCTCAACTTTTTCTCAAGGCAATACACAATGAGATTTTAACTTAACTGGCTGATTTCGAGTTTGTCCTCACCATTTTCTCACACAGTTTTTCTGGGACTCTCATAAGACTAAACCATTTTTACTAAGGCAATTCTCTGGTACCCCTTGGGACCTAGAGTTTTAGGTCTCAAACTGAAATAACATCTAATGCTGGTCAGGAAATACCCTAAAATTTCCAAATGTTTTCTCATTTTCCCAAAAACCAAAGTGTCCCATGATGCCCTTTGAGATGTGACCTTAGAAGCCACCAACACCAGGCACTGGACTCCTACTCTTTCTTGAGAAATAGCTATACACTCCTGAATCACGACTATGCTTTGAGAGCTCCCCACACTCTTGGACTTCTCTTCCTTTTGTTTTGGAGCACCCCTTCTCCTTTTAACTCCCAATGTGAAACCTGTTGAAAGTCTTCTACTGAACTCCAGCTCTGCTCCACACTGGCTCATCCTGAAATTTTTGCTGAGGCAAAACCAAGACTGTGGCTTTTGCTGGGAGGAGATCTTAGGAAAGTATGGGTAGACACCACAGGAAGCAGCATGGAGCAGAGTTTCTGCTGCATCACGGTGGGCTTGTTCATCATCTATATGAAGCATGCAATCCCTAGCACACAAAAATTTAGCGTAATGGACACACATGTAATCCCAGCATGTCAGGTGTGGAAGAACAGGGATCACAAGTTCAAAACCATCCTTGGCTACATGGCAAGTTCCATAGGAGCCTTGGGATAGATGAGAGAGAAGAGATAGCCTTGGACTTGGAGCAGTGTCAGGACTGTTACAGACTCTCTGGACTTTTGTGGTAATGTAAATGCAATGAAAAGCTTGTTGCCGGGAGGTCACAGAGTGTACTGGAAAAGCTCCTGTTGTTTTGCCACATAAACATGATGAAACCATGGAATTATTCTCTCCATAACTATGTTCACACCCAGAGGTTGGTGCTGTGTTAGCTTTGGTGAGAGAATCTCCTCTCTGCAATGGTCAGTGGTGAACGCTAAAATTCATAGCTGGTCAAAATACTGTGAATAAGGGACTGTTGGAGTCTTAACCATTAATGGAATAGCTGTATCATTCCCTTCAAGCTCAGGGAACATGGCAGAAGAGATGGAAAGAATGGAAGAGCTAGAACAATGACTTCTAGGCATAGCACAGCTGTTGAACTCTTGAACCCACAGCAGCTGTGATTACATTTATAAGATCTGGACAAGATTGGGCCTGTCAACAGTCAGTCATGGAAGGGGGAGGAGCTCATGAGGTCCCCACAGCCTCTCCCTGAGGATTTATATACACTTAATAGTTGATGGGAGAGGTAGAGAAGTTTTCTTCAGTGGTGTAGTCGCTGGTAAAGTGCCCAGACTCCTGTAAACAAATGTCACCTGTGCTCATATAGCCAACCCCAATGAAACACACTGGGACACATACACATGCACACACACACACACACACACACACACACACACACGCACACACACACACAGACATACACACAGATACATACAAACATACACACTAAGACAAACACGCAGACACACACACACACACACACACCATGAAAATAGAAAGGGAGCTAGAGGAGAAGAGTAAGGAGATTAGTGAGAATAGGATTGGTGTTAGAGACTGGAATGGGAGGAGGGTTAAATATGATCGAATAACATTATACATATGTATTAAAATATAATGAAACCATCATTATGTATAATCAATGTATTTTAATAATAGACATAGAAACCCAAACCAATTAGATAGGGATAGGCTAGGGAAACTCTTGAGGTTGCAATGAAGGCCTCCTCCACCATGAGCTGGCCACCAGCCCACGGGGCTAGGGCCAGAGTATTGTGGTTTGAATGTAAAATGTCCCTCAAAGATTGTGGTCTTGGGTAAACCCCGATCATTGGGTTTGTCACAGAAAATAGATTGAAGATGGGCCAGTATAGAGCAGAGCTGGAGTTTATTAAAAGACATTTCTTCACAGATTTAAGAACATCAGTTCACAGAGACACTGAGGGAAAGAATGAGGTGTGCTTGAGAGGATGGCCATGGGCTTCCCAAAGGGGAGCTATACTCCATGGTCTTTACAGCAGTCATAGGCAGGATTTGGGTAATCTATGAATTTATTATCTTAAAAGGCTGCTAAGGAATTTCAATGATATCATGGGGTGGTTCCTGTGGGCCATCCCATAGTCTTAGAATTTTTGAGGAGGAAAAGTAGATGGCAGGGTTTCAGGGAGCTAGGTTACCTTCACTGTCCATAGAACTAAAAGTCTCATCTGTGAGATATCCAGAAAATGCCAAGGGTCAAGGGGAGGGTATTGCTGTTTTAGCATTATTGTTTACAGAAATATTTCTGTGTAAAAGAAACACTGTCTCTTAAAAAAGTTTAAATGGAAGCCTTGTAATTGCTTTCATCTGTACTTGTGAATGTATCTACCCCTCTGGTGGCTGTTGCTCTGTGTTGTCACTCGGCAGTATAGGGAAGAAGACACAGAATGAAAGGAAGCTAAGCAAAGGAGAATGAAAACAGATGTAAATATTGTGACAGTAAAAATAATGATCTCCCTGAACATGGAATTAAAATAATAGCTGGATTTGATACATTTTAATTATTTCTTCTAATCTAAAATCTCCCCAACCATATATTTCCAGAAAGACAATAGAGGCATATCAATCATTTTATTGTTGTAAACACAACTATGCAGAAATTACAAACTGTCTTAAAATAGTCAGCAGATGATGAAGCAAGGAGCTAGCAACCATATCATTCCTAAATATTTATAGTGAAAGAAAGCACCTTATCTTTAAACACTGCAAGAAGTGGGTATGAGAACTTCAAATACTTGGAAAACAACATAAGAAAAATATGTTAAAATAAGTACATTTTGACCATAAGGTGTTTATGCAAAGACAGCTAAATGGAAGGGAATATAGAGAATTAAACAATAAATAAAATTACTCACTTTAAAGTATTTGGTGAATGGTAGGTTGATCTACTTGAGCTTTGTCTTAACAAAGGTAAGTAATTTGGAGGCAGGAGACTGACTGAGTTTCATGGATGTGAGAGCTATACTATGACTACTCCAGGGCAATGTACAATGGCGCCCACAAACATCAGAACTATTCCAAGGGCTGGGGCTTATTAAACACATATGAAAACATGCTCATCACTTGGGAGGTTACTTGGATTTTCAATGTCTTTCCAAAAGAGAATATAATGTTTTTAAGTCATGCAAGCTGTAACTTGACTGTCAACCAAATTTTGGTATCAATTCAGAAATAAATGGTGTAACTGCAAACATCTACTTAATATAGAAAATATGATTTTTAAAATACATAATTAAAATTCAGTTAGCACTTTACAGTGAGTGAAATAGAACACTACAGTCTTCATAGATAATGTTGAACACATGTCCAGATGGGGTTATATCAAGAATACATTTTTTTGTGAAATTTTCTGTGCAAATGTAGTGCATTGAAGAGCACTCATGGAGGTAACAGCACACAATAGACATTTCTGAAGTTATATATCAAAATCAGCTGAACTTGTTATTTGGCTCATACTCAAAAATAAAGAATTTGCAACACATATTTTTCTGTCCCTAGGGACTACCTTTTCAGAAAGCCAGATGCTGTATTGTGGTTTATTTTCAACCCATACATGAATAGCACTGTGTTGCTATTTTCTTCTTTTTCCTTTGGTTGAAAGCATGCTGCTTTAAGATTCAGCCTGGTTTATGAATCTAAGGATTCCATGTCTCTCCTATACCTGTGGAATAACACCTGTGATTCATATTAAATCACTGAAAGAGAGGAGCAAAATGCTGGCCAAAGGCCATTTATGAGCAACTGCCTTTTAATGGTGCCATGATTAAAAAAATATTGTAGGATGCAGGACTAAACCAAACACGGCTGTATAACCGTGTAAGAAATAGTTTGGTCTGAAGTTAACTTTCCTAAGAAGATGGGAGACAAGTTCTCCACTTAAAAGTTTATTTCTCCAGGTCTTTAGAATGCTAATCAGATTTATTAAAGATGGCCATATTGTCATTTGATAGACAATCCCTAAAGAAATCTTTGGAATCCATCAGGTATCTAATTAAAGATAAAAGAATATAGCACATTAAGACAATGAATATACTTTCTGCAGTCATAGACCTTTCTTTTGGAAGAAGTAAGTAAGTAAGTAACTAAGTAAGTAAGTAAGATTACATTATTTCTATCTATTCAAACTTCCAAACTGAAGCATCTTCAAGTATATTTCAACAAATACTTTTTGAGTTTTATTTCTTAAAAAAAATGATGTATCCTCAATGCATTACCCTAAATGTTAGAACAAAATGCAAGACTCCCTTTGAGTGACTTTATTTACACCTCTGCATTTTGGCTTACTACAAGTTAACAAAAATTTACATGTTCTACACAGTTAAAATTAGACATATTGTGGCTTTTACAATGTTCACTGCATCTGCTCTTATATAGAACAAAGTAGCTCTTGCTGGGCTAATCAATCACTGCTAGATCTTTGGCAAGGGCTGGAAGTTGTATAATGATGCTGTGATTCTGTAACAACCTGAGAAATGAGTAGTGAGGAAAAAAACAAATCTTTAAAAGTTGTATGTTATTCACAACTCCAGGGCCAGCATTTTCTGTTTTTATTTTGCAATATCCCATTTGACTTTAGTGCCCTTATTTTAACATTGAGTTTAAAAACAAGAAAAGATTCCTCTATCTTGCATTAGGAAATGCACCTGTCTCTCAGAAGGCTTTTTTTCCTCTGAGTGATTGTTAAATCAGGTAACATCATGTGGCAAGCACACAGAAACAACACATCATAAATAGCACGTTACTAAATTTCAAAGCTAGAAAAATACATATCATACCATAACTTGTAAACTGTCTTTAAGTCAGAACACTTAGAAACCAAGAGATTATTGACAAATCAAATGAAGAATTTCAAAGTTGTGTGCATGAAAATTTTTAGTTAAGGAATGGGTTTGCTCAGTAACTATTTCATTCTTTCCGAGGTACATCAACTCTGGGAAAGGGTCCTGTTGTTCATTTCCAAATGGCAGCAGAGGGCCATTCAAGAAAAGCACTGATCTCAATTGTATCTAACAGTATGGTATTCCTTTACTGAACAAACAATTCTTTTCTAACATTCCCCCCTCAAGAAAATTTTGGTGTTATAAAACAGTTTTTCCCCCTTAGATCCCCTTAAAAAAATTACCTCAAAGCTTAGCCATACTGCAGGCTCCCTTCCAACCCCGCCCCACAACTCAGCATAAGTAAATTATTTTAGCTTTGGAATTGTGTATTAAAGAGCTGCATAGGAGTATCACTTACTGCTTACACTGAAGATACAATACAGCCATGTCTGTGTACTTAGGAGGTGATTTAACACTGGTGATGGCAGCCACACCATGGTCACTTGTTTTAGTTTAAGGTAAACTTGGCAACTTTCATTTATTATTAATTCACTACAGGGGTAAAGAGAAAAATGAGCATTGTGCTCTACATCCTCCCCAGTAAGCAATCTTCTTCAAAATCACACTGATGAATCACAACTGGACCCAAAAAGTCCTTGACTCCAACAGGAGTCTTAACTAAAACCCCATCTTGAGATTCAGGCTCAATTTGTGTCAGATACATCTCACCCTATTGTTACTGTCTGTGGGTTTCTTCTAGGACATATTTCTTAATTTGAAAACTATTCCATTAAATGTAGTTTAGATGTGGTCAAGATAAGAATAACTGGGGTCTTCTTATATCATTAACTATGTAGTTAGAATTTCATTAGCTTGTGGGGGGTTTAATTTGCATTACCTATGAAACAGACAAGGTATAAGTGAAGAAAACATCAGATTTTTCTCACCTGAATGACCACAACCTACACAATGAAGTCTTTCTTGGTTAATTTCTGAGCAGCAAGGATTCTTCCAATTGCCATTTAAAATCAATGCTTTTATATAACTACATTTTATTTATTCAACATGTTGGTGATACCCTACAGGGCACACAGAGTAAACAAACAAACAAACAAACAAAAAACCCTGTAGACCACATAGCCACGAATAAGACTGCCTCAATTTCACTGTCATTACTTCATTAGTGTTAATATAAGAAAGTTTACCAGTGCTAGGGAGCTTTCTCCCCCATGTGATGTTTCCATTTGTTACTCTTACTGTGGCTTCTCACCTTACTCCACAGGTCTCCTCTAAACTGCTCTGCATCAAAAATTGCACTGTTAGATTTTTGGTGGGAGGCAGGAGTTGAATGTAAATCACAATGATGATGGTCAACAGTACTGGGACCCTGATCACTTGGTATACTGTACT